ATATCGGAATATCACCATCACTGATACGCATCGGTAGCTAGCTGAGGCCGTACCCGTGAGCCAATGTTGAATGGCGCAAGGGATATTCAGTGCAGACATGGGTACTATTCCAGAAAATAGGAGCATAAGAGGAATTCTCTAATGTCCCGTCACAAAAAGCAGCCACAACAAATCAGAAACAATCAAGAAACGATAGAGAGAAAAGAGCTCTGAAGAGGAGAAACCGACAAAAAACATCACTTTTAAATTCTATTTTTCGAGAGAATAATTCATGATGGAGAAATTTGCATACTGGGTGGGATTGAATTTCTAGGCGCACGGAGCGTTCTACACCTTTGTGGTTGCCCATCCAACGCCAGGCTTATCCACGGATAGAACCGTGAATTGTAAACCGGATAGACTCGCCACTCGTCAGAAAATCCAGCTCGGCTAGGGAGTACTATCAGCTGTCCGAAAAACTAGAGTGTGCCTTGAGTAGCATTCGGTGGTTGGAGCCTTTCAGGCTATATCTGTAGGTAAAAATTTTAATTAACAACCGTGACTTGAAATCGGGGTCTGTAGCCATACTCTACGGTCCATACCCCCATAGTGATGAAAAGACCTCTCGACATTCTGCATGACAGATTCAAAGGCAATCAGTTATGGAATAAAAGTAATCCGCAGGCTAAATGACCCTATTTATGGTGCGCGGCAGCGTTCTGCTCTGTTCAGAATCGCTGTGGACTTTGAAAGGGAGTTCCGTGGATTTCAATGAGTTGTGGGATCAGTGTCTTTATCTGCCCAGACGCAGCCTATATTAAACAAGTGGCTGACGGATGGGACACTTGAATGGCCTGGACGGGCGCACGATTCATCATCTGATCCTTGCGAGGTAGGTATTTTTCTCCCAATAAAAGGATAAAGGATAAAGCATTTGCCGTTGATCAATCCCTTTTGGGATGCGGCACGCATTCTACTTCCATTTGTACATTCGTAGTGGCGTTTGAATGCGATGTGGCCTATACAATGACTTGCGGGGCCAGCCGATGTACAAGTCAGTGTTTTTATCCTCCCAGACAAGTCTGGTACCAATTAACCGACCCCGGAGGGATGGAAGGCTTGGTTGGCCCTCACGACCCAGGATTTGATCCCCGGACCGCTCGCGTGGTAAGCGTGCCACTTGCCACTACACCACTTCCCCTCTCCCGACGATAAAAGTGGAAATGTTTGATTGTTAAAGGCTTTCCGATAGTGATAAGCCTCTCAAAAATAAATATGTGTCGTCGGTATAGGAAATATCATGGCATAGAAAAACTTCAGCTCTGAATAAATAAATCGGAACCGGTATGTGATTCCTATAACTTGTGATTAATTGAAGCAGCGTCGATCAAATGGATTTGTATCAGATAAGGAGTAAACGAGGAGGCGGGGGCAGAGGATTTTCCAGGTTGAAGAATGGTAGGATGTTTTCGATAGACGAAATAAAGCGTTGCCGAGTTTGTTCATAGTCATCAGACTGTGAAAAAGTCCAGTATGAAGCAGACTGGCTTAAGAAGGCCCACGACGTGCATTTTAGCCTGAGAAAAACTTCCGCTCTCGTTCGTGCATAATGCTGTTATGGAATTCCGTGACCGTGTGTTGTTAATTTTGCGAGTGGTGTCACTCAAGCAGCATCTAATAAAGTTTGATTACTTCAGCATAAAATGTCGAGAATGAAAACGACTTTTTCGTCTTACCTTCCCCCAGCCCTCCCCCACTCCATCCCTACCCGCTCCGCGCCCCGCGTATACCCAACTTGTAACATTTACGCCTTTTCCTCTCGTTTATTATTTAACGCGACGATGGCGTGTGGTCAAGGAACGGTTGGAATCAATTTGGAGCAAATGTTTTAGAGAGAGCCCGGAAAAGCGTTCATTCGGCCTACTAACAGTGCCGCAGGAACTTCGGCTCATGCAGGTATACGCGGGGTGGGGAGCGGGTAGGGATGGAGTGGCGCGGGGTGAGTTGCAGTTCTTCTTATTAGTCACATGAAATTGAGACACTACTTTGCTCAACATGCAATTTGGCCCCTTCCTTCGCTTTCGACGCAAAGCTAAGACCGAAACTAAGCAGCACGTATAGCTTTAGCAGCAGCTCCAATGTGAGTAAGGCCTAAGCCTGAGCCTAAAGCCCAAGGTTAAACCTTAGCCTCTGATGATCATGCATTCTGGTATCTGCTGACCTGGGAGCTGAAATGAAAGCTCCCACGGGAGGATGGAGGCGTCCGGCAAGAATCTATCTGGGCAACAGTTCTCTCACGGTTCAGAAAATTCGAGTGCGAGCAGAATGGTATATAGCTGTGCAAGAACGAGAAGTATGGAGATGTAAGGACTGTCTTGGTTTCGAATGCTTTGCGGTCGTGCCGGCCTCTTCCCCTACCCAACCCTACCCCCGCTTGTCTAGTTTGCTCGAGTTCATCCGCGTGCAAACCAGACATCGCTGACATTTCAATGTCCTTTCAATCTCTCTATTTCAATGTCTTTCAATCTTAATGGCAAGGTTTTCTGATTTCAGGGGCAAGAAACTGTCAAGCTACCGCTCGCATCTTTAATCCATGCGAAGGAAGGTAGGCCCTGGTCTACTCAAGGGAAGGGGACTCGATTCATGCGGAATCCCACACATCCACCATTCACCCCTCACCCCCCCGCCTAGCACTTGATCTTGAAGGGGATTGAGGGATAGGAGTGCGTGAGCAGTTTTCATTTCCCCGCAGTTTATACTCTCCTCCTTTATCTTTATGCTCCTTCTAAGCTCAGTCCACGCAACAATGCCCAACACCAGCGCCCTAACTCCTTCCACATTCTAACTAGTTCCAAGTGATTCCCTCCACCCCGAATCCCCTGAATTAGCGGTACTCCCCTCTTGGTGCCCGCCACAAAGTGCACTATGTAGAGCTAGAAGGCTGCGAGCCATTCTCGTCAAACGTATAGCTTGCTAAAGCGAAACTATTTCCGAATTCCAATGGTTACGTTTCTTCGCTAAATGGCAATACAATAGTGCATCTCTTTTGAAAAGGAGCATCTCATTTGCAAGTGCACGTTTGCCACGATGGAACACCTGTGTTCACCACATTTTACGTGGAACACCTCGGACGCCATAGGGAATATTTTTCCTCGGATCGGCGCTATCACAAGATACGTGGGCATTGTGGTGGCAACACATTTGAAATCACGTAAAATATCTCGTTCCTGAAGACGAAACAAACAACCAGGATGAGGGGGGGGGCGAATCCTTAGGGAGAGAAGAGACTCAAGGGTGCGTGAGCTTTTTTCCGAAGTTCCTTCCCCCTTCCAGGCTTATTCTTGGCGCAGACCCCTCATCTTGCGATAGCGCCCCATCTCATTAAAATACTGCATCCGTTATAATTCAAGCGACAAGATTGAATACCGAGAGCAAAAATACCTCCTCAGCGAATGCTCCAAAGCTTCATCCCACCTTCTCCTCCGGTAAATAAGCAGAAATGAACTCTAGCACTAGAACTTTATCACTGCTCGCATCTCAACGAAATCGAAAAACATTCGAAAAAAAAACCTAACTCCTTCTTTACCGACGCGGCATAAATAGTTGGAAAGATGGCGCGATAATGATAGTCCAATATATGCGTCGGTCGGAGGCATAACGGTGCAACCCGCACTACGGTTACCCGACTTCGTTGGGTTGTTTGCCCCACTCGGTCATGCTGACCTCACTGGCCCTCGAGTCCTCACGAGAATGCGCGGGACATAATAGCTTCACCCGGTAGCACTCATGACGAAGACACCCATAGTTACACGTGGTCGGCCTCATCAGCGTGAAAAATGGGGAGAAACAGCAAAAGAAGCAGGATGATCGGCACTTCACATGCTGACTCTAACTATAAGTTCTTGTCACGACACCTTTGTTTATTTGTTTACAATTGACGCATCGGGTCGTTTTGAACACTCGTAGCGCGTTCTCATGGGTTATTTCTCTGTAATGTAGAAGGTATTCCTGGCTACGAATCTGGCCCAGAAGACTGTGCAACACTCAATGAACCTGGACGAGGATAGCATAAACCTCAACACCTGATGATTCTCAGCCGGGGTCGAACGGTCGTGTTCTGAGTTGGAAGAAGGTAAAAGGGAGAGTAGAGGGGCGGGCCATATTTTTTAAGCTTGAAAGAGTGCGTGGCGACGGCAAGAGAGTTCGTTTAGACGGGTACTCAACAATTTCGGGTTAAGTTTTCAGGCAAATAACACATGACGCGATATCAAAATTAGAGGATTTGCCGCGCATCAGAAAAATTACCCTGCTGCCCCCCCCCTCCCCCATACCCTCCCCGTCCCCCCACTTGACGGCCGTTGCTTTGCATCATTCGCAGGACAGGGGTCATGGCTCCAAGTTAGAAATTGATGGGGCTATATAGTGGTCACGAAAATTTTTCGAGGGTGAGTGAAGGGCTAAGTACCCTTTGTCGGTTTAGCACTAGCAACTCGTCGTATAAAAGCAGCATCTTTCAAATATTCGAGTAGGGTGATTTACATGGCGCATACCGCAACAAATTCTGGGACAGTTTAGACATCAAGGATGAGGCCATCTCGCGGCGTTATACGTCTACTTTACCTATACGCAGATCTAAGGCGTCTCGAACTATAATTAACAGTCCTTCCAAAGTCCTCCATGCATGTTAGCAATGCGCTGTGGCAGTTAGCAAAAGGTTACGGTAATCGGCTTGGTACGTGAGTACACAGCATACTCGACATGTTTCCCATTTTTGCGTAGAAACATGTTTTCGTTATTCTTTCTAAGCTTTAACAGTTCCAGCGCTTCTACTTCCAGTCTTGTTTTTGTTTCATTGGGATCTGCTTGCTTTAAATGTGTTTTTCTCATGTTTTGGTGTTTTATAGTTAGCTACAGCGTAACTTCGTATAGTATAGGTCAGGCTGAATTTTTCACGTTATTGGGAGCTTTGCAGTAACTATTGGTCTGGTCTTCGTGTTAATTCTCTTATAAGAGTGCCTTTCATGGCTTTGTCTCAGTCAAAGTCGGATCCGGCTAATGCGGAAGAGTTTTACAAGAAGGTGTGTCAGCTTTACCGGAGTTTTGGTAGTTGATGTATTGATGGCGTGACATTTTGCCATTTTTTTTTTCAATTTCAAAGCGATTTATCTGACGTGTTCAAACCAAATGGTCAGTTTTGTCGCCGTGATGCACGCGCCTTTGAACTGTTAAGATCTTACGTAAATCTCATTCCGATGAAGAGTGGCGCGGCTTCGAGGATATCGATAGTTCTTTGCGGCAAAGTGAATGGCAGTGTTGAGAGTAATACATCGGCCTCAACATGCCCGGATGTGAGTTCACTAGGACGGGAGCGACTTGGAACAGCGCAGCGCGAAACCGAAAACATAGTCGCTTTTTTTCTTGTGAATCACACCCGACGTGCCTGGAACGCGGCTTGGGGATGCTCAATCAGCGCTGACTTGGTACGCTACATGTGGACTTGAGGTTAGTTGGCATCCATCCCAATCTGGCATCAGTCGGGAAAAGTGGGTAAAACTCGGGTTTGGGCGCGACGCTGTTTGTCTGCTCCACCAAGGCTTACGCGTGGCTTGCGACAATTGTCTCCACTTAGGTCCAGTAATTCTAAGCATTCTGACGTCTTTTTATACAGGCGGAAGAATTCTGGTCCAATGCAAGCAGAGATATTGATGGTATGCTTGGAGGATTCGCCCATTTACATGTTCCGGACATGAGAGCCTCGAAAGCCTTCATTAAGAAATTGAGATCGAAGGTATGTTGAATTTGTGCATTCGTCCTTGTTAACTCTGCTTTCTCATAGTGTTCGATAACCTGTCAGCGCATTCTGAGTTCTGTCGTACACGGGTAATAAAAGGCCTGGCCAAAACGCACTCTTCCACGTCCGTCCTCGTTTGGTCGCTCATAGGCTGGTGTCAGAGTCCGCGATCCGTCGCAGTTTTCGCTGATTTACGCGAAACCTGACGACTGTTTCGTGATTCTGCCCTGTAACGTGAAAAAAGTGGGGGCAGGGTTGATCAGGGCACTTTTAATTCCTGTGATCCGTCGCACGCTTCGCGCGGATCGGGCACTTGTGATTTTCGGGACCCGTCACGCGAATCGCGTAAATCGCGCAACTCAGCGGAACCTGCGACGGATCGCGGACTCTGACACCAGGGGCCGTATGCAACAAGCCCCGCACGTCTGAGGGGATATATCCCCTCAGTCGTATGCAACAAGCTTCGACGCCCGCGAGGGGACATATCCCCTCAGTCGTATGCAACAAGCCAATAAAAAAAAAGGCGCCCGCAGCCCGGACTAAGGATCTTGTGCTTATAGCTCGAGAGGAAGCTAGCTTTGAGAGCGCTGGCTTTTCACAAAGTTCTCATCCACGAACGTCTTATCCTCACATGTTGGATCTAGGGAATAGAAGAATTGTTGACTGCGATCATGGCAGATTTCGTCTACTCCCTAGGTCTTATTCATTTTTTTTAAGTTTTTGAACTTTTGACCGGAGCAAATCTACGTAATAAAAACCGAATGTGAGTTGGAAAAGGTATCCGAAAGCAAGTGTTTCTATTCGATTTTAAGGTTCTCATGGAATATGTCGTAAAAGAGTGCAATATTTTGAAAGTGCTCCTGTGTTATGTTTTTCTGTCATTTCTTTGTAGAATTTTTCAACCTTAAAATGCGAAAACATGTCAGCCTGCGTGCTCTTCCTCTACGCTCTCCCTTTCTATGCCAGTAGTAGCTATTTTAAGAGCACGGTTTTTATGATTGAATAGAAACGGATTTTTTTTGTAGAAATTGCTCATCGATAACAATCGTGCAGCAGACTGTGGCGCTGGTATCGGACGGGTTACACGACATTTGTTGCTGCCTCTGTTCAAGAATGTTGGTAAGTTGAAACTAATGTCGCCGGAGGCTACTTGAGAAAAGGATTTCCTAGAGACGTTAGTTATATTTGTATTTTTGTATTCTTCCACATGTCATACGCCCTTTCAGCACATCATTTCAGGAAACGAGAACGTGACTAGAGTGCAAGTTGGACTGCAGAACTTCTATCCCGATCCTTCATCCTTTGATCTGATATGGATCCAATGGTGTTCTGGCCATTTAACAGACAGCGACATGGTCGAGTTCCTCAGGCGTTGCATTGTGAGTCCCAAGTAATGATGCAACATTGTTTACTGATTTTTGACCTGTTTTTGTTTGTTAACTGCTGTTTTTGGCCGCAGTTCGCCTTGCGAATGTTTCACAAGAATGCTGGGTTGTGAACAAAACTTTCGCCCCAGGCGGGACTAGAACCCGCACCTCTCGCTTTCCGGGCAAGTGATGAAATGGTGCCCCGGTAGCGTAACTGGTAGCGCACTTGCCCGGAAAGCGAGAGGTGCGGGTTCTAGTCCCGCCTGGGGCGAAAGTTTTGTTCACAACCCAGCATTCTTGTGAAACATTGTTTATTGAATTTTAAGCATTTGTTTAAGGATGGCCTTACCGATGATGGTGTCATCGTGTTCAAGGATAATCTCTCTGCACAGCAGGAACCCGAGTTCGATTGTGAAGACTACAGCTGGACGAGACCTGAACCACTTGTTTTGGAGTTATTTACCAGAGCAGGCCTCAGAGTTGTTGCTGAAAATTTACAGACAGGTTTCCCTAGTGGCATGTATAAAGTGAAAATGTTTGCACTTAAACCGGTAACAAGCAAGTATGCGAAACCAGAGAACTAGGTTCTTTGGTAGATCTCGTTTTGAGAATGCACAATTTATTGAGCATCGATTTCTCTTTTTTTTTGTTCGACACAAGACCTCTATTATCAGATGTCATATTCAGTATTAAATTGATGGGAAATGTTGATATCTTTCAATACCATTTGTTGTTCACAAGAATACTTCCTTTCTGTGATCGATTACAATGAATCATTGTTATTTTGATGAGACTACATTACTGTAAGCAGCCTCTTGCGCGACAATGTTGTAATCCGCTTGAACGAATATTTTGCTCACTTCGTCACTCTACCTTTCCGTAATTATAGGTTGCATCGCTGAATTTCTCCGATAAAGTCCTTTTTTTTACTTTATTGGCATTAAAGGCCAAAGGCTGTATATATGGAACTGTCGAGGCGTCCCTCATTCGTGAGCAGCCACGCTTGGCAAAACAGTTGCTCCCGGTGAGGCTCGAACTCACGACCTTCAGATTATGAGACTGACGCGCTGCCGACTGCGCTACGGAAGCGCGGTGATGAACTAAGCGACGCAATTATTGATCCAAACCTGTGGTTTTTCCTCAGATTTGGTCCAGAGCATTCCAGAGATGTGTAGAACTGTCGAGGTACCTCAATCGTGAGCAGCCACGCTTGGCAAAACAGTTGCTCCCGGTGAGGCTCGAACTCACGACCTTCAGATTATGAGACTGACGCGCTGCCGACTGCGCTACGGAAGCGCGGTGATGAACTAAGCGACGCAATTATTGATCCAAACCTGTGGTTTTTCCTCAGATTTGGTCCAGAGCATTCCAGAGATGTGTAGAACTGTCGAGGTACCTCAATCGTGAGCAGCCACGCTTGGCAAAACAGTTGCTCCCGGTGAGGCTCGAACTCACGACCTTCAGATTATGAGACTGACGCGCTGCCGACTGCGCTACGGAAGCGCGGTGATGAACTAAGCGACGCAATTATTGATCCAAACCTGTGGTTTTTCCTCAGATTTGGCCCATGGTAGTGAGCAGCCACGCTTGGCAAAACAGTTGCTCCCGGTGAGGCTCGAACTCACGACCTTCAGATTATGAGACTGACGCGCTGCCGACTGCGCTACGGAAGCGCGGTGATGAACTAAGCGACGCAATTATTGATCCAAACCTGTGGTTTTTCCTCAGATTTGGTCCAGAGCATTCCAGAGATGTGTAGAACTGTCGAGGTCCCTCAATCGTGAGCAGCCACGCTTGGCAAAACAGTTGCTCCCGGTGAGGCTCGAACTCACGACCTTCAGATTATGAGACTGACGCGCTGCCGACTGCGCTACGGAAGCGCGGTGATGAACTAAGCGACGCAATTATTGATCCAAACCTGTGGTTTTTCCTCAGATTTGGCCCATGGTAGTGAGCAGCCACGCTTGGCAAAACAGTTGCTCCCGGTGAGGCTCGAACTCACGACCTTCAGATTATGAGACTGACGCGCTGCCGACTGCGCTACGGAAGCGCGGTGATGAACTAAGCGACGCAATTATTGATCCAAACCTGTGGTTTTTCCTCAGATTTGGCCCATGGTAGTGAGCAGCCACGCTTGGCAAAACAGTTGCTCCCGGTGAGGCTCGAACTCACGACCTTCAGATTATGAGACTGACGCGCTGCCGACTGCGCTACGGAAGCGCGGTGATGAACTAAGCGACGCAATTATTGATCCAAACCTGGTTTTTCCTCAGATTTGGTCCAGAGCATTTCCAGAGATGTGTAGAACTGTCGAGGTACCTCAATCGTGAGCAGCCACGCTTGGCAAAACAGTTGCTCCCGGTGAGGCTCGAACTCACGACCTTCAGATTATGAGACTGACGCGCTGCCGACTGCGCTACGGAAGCGCGGTGATGAACTAAGCGACGCAATTATTGATCCAAACCTGTGGTTTTTCCTCAGATTTGGTCCAGAGCATTCCAGAGATGTGTAGAACTGTCGAGGTACCTCAATCGTGAGCAGCCACGCTTGGCAAAACAGTTGCTCCCGGTGAGGCTCGAACTCACGACCTTCAGATTATGAGACTGACGCGCTGCCGACTGCGCTACGGAAGCGCGGTGATGAACTAAGCGACGCAATTATTGATCCAAACCTGTGGTTTTTCCTCAGATTTGGTCCAGAGCATTCCAGAGATGTGTAGAACTGTCGAGGTACCTCAATCGTGAGCAGCCACGCTTGGCAAAACAGTTGCTCCCGGTGAGGCTCGAACTCACGACCTTCAGATTATGAGACTGACGCGCTGCCGACTGCGCTACGGAAGCGCGGTGATGAACTAAGCGACGCAATTATTGATCCAAACCTGTGGTTTTTCCTCAGATTTGGCCCATGGTAGTGAGCAGCCACGCTTGGCAAAACAGTTGCTCCCGGTGAGGCTCGAACTCACGACCTTCAGATTATGAGACTGACGCGCTGCCGACTGCGCTACGGAAGCGCGGTGATGAACTAAGCGACGCAATTATTGATCCAAACCTGTGGTTTTTCCTCAGATTTGGTCCAGAGCATTCCAGAGATGTGTAGAACTGTCGAGGTACCTCAATCGTGTGAGCAGCCACGCTTGGCAAAACAGTTGCTCCCGGTGAGGCTCGAACTCACGACCTTCAGATTATGAGACTGACGCGCTGCCGACTGCGCTACGGAAGCGCGGTGATGAACTAAGCGACGCAATTATTGATCCAAACCTGTGGTTTTTCCTCAGATTTGGTCCAGAGCATTCCAGAGATGTGTAGAACTGTCGAGGTACCTCAATCGTGAGCAGCCACGCTTGGCAAAACAGTTGCTCCCGGTGAGGCTCGAACTCACGACCTTCAGATTATGAGACTGACGCGCTGCCGACTGCGCTACGGAAGCGCGGTGATGAACTAAGCGACGCAATTATTGATCCAAACCTGTGGTTTTTCCTCAGATTTGGTCCAGAGCATTCCAGAGATGTGTAGAACTGTCGAGGTACCTCAATCGTGAGCAGCCACGCTTGGCAAAACAGTTGCTCCCGGTGAGGCTCGAACTCACGACCTTCAGATTATGAGACTGACGCGCTGCCGACTGCGCTACGGAAGCGCGGTGATGAACTAAGCGACGCAATTATTGATCCAAACCTGTGGTTTTTCCTCAGATTTGGTCCAGAGCATTCCAGAGATGTGTAGAACTGTCGAGGTACCTCAATCGTGAGCAGCCACGCTTGGCAAAACAGTTGCTCCCGGTGAGGCTCGAACTCACGACCTTCAGATTATGAGACTGACGCGCTGCCGACTGCGCTACGGAAGCGCGGTGATGAACTAAGCGACGCAATTATTGATCCAAACCTGTGGTTTTTCCTCAGATTTTGGCCCATGGTAGTGAGCAGCCACGCTTGGCAAAACAGTTGCTCCCGGTGAGGCTCGAACTCACGACCTTCAGATTATGAGACTGACGCGCTGCCGACTGCGCTACGGAAGCGCGGTGATGAACTAAGCGACGCAATTATTGATCCAAACCTGTGGTTTTTCCTCAGATTTGGTCCAGAGCATTCCAGAGATGTGTAGAACTGTCGGGTACCTCAATCGTGAGCAGCCACGCTTGGCAAAACAGTTGCTCCCGGTGAGGCTCGAACTCACGACCTTCAGATTATGAGACTGACGCGCTGCCGACTGCGCTACGGAAGCGCGGTGATGAACTAAGCGACGCAATTATTGATCCAAACCTGTGGTTTTTCCTCAGATTTTGGTCCAGAGCATTCCAGAGATGTGTAGAACTGTCGAGGTACCTCAATCGTGAGCAGCCACGCTTGGCAAAACAGTTGCTCCCGGTGAGGCTCGAACTCACGACCTTCAGATTATGAGACTGACGCGCTGCCGACTGCGCTACGGAAGCGCGGTGATGAACTAAGCGACGCAATTATTGATCCAAACCTGTGGTTTTTCCTCAGATTTGGTCCAGAGCATTCCAGAGATGTGTAGAACTGTCGAGGTACCTCAATCGTGAGCAGCCACGCTTGGCAAAACAGTTGCTCCCGGTGAGGCTCGAACTCACGACCTTCAGATTATGAGACTGACGCGCTGCCGACTGCGCTACGGAAGCGCGGTGATGAACTAAGCGACGCAATTATTGATCCAAACCTGTGGTTTTTCCTCAGATTTGGCCCATGGTAGTGAGCAGCCACGCTTGGCAAAACAGTTGCTCCCGGTGAGGCTCGAACTCACGACCTTCAGATTATGAGACTGACGCGCTGCCGACTGCGCTACGGAAGCGCGGTGATGAACTAAGCGACGCAATTATTGATCCAAACCTGTGGTTTTTCCTCAGATTTGGTCCAGAGCATTCCAGAGATGTGTAGAACTGTCGAGGTACCTCAATCGTGAGCAGCCACGCTTGGCAAAACAGTTGCTCCCGGTGAGGCTCGAACTCACGACCTTCAGATTATGAGACTGACGCGCTGCCGACTGCGCTACGGAAGCGCGGTGATGAACTAAGCGACGCAATTATTGATCCAAACCTGTGGTTTTTCCTCAGATTGGCCCATGGTAGTGAGCAGCCACGCTTGGCAAAACAGTTGCTCCCGGTGAGGCTCGAACTCACGACCTTCAGATTATGAGACTGACGCGCTGCCGACTGCGCTACGGAAGCGCGGTGATGAACTAAGCGACGCAATTATTGATCCAAACCTGTGGTTTTTCCTCAGATTTGGTCCAGAGCATTCCAGAGATGTGTAGAACTGTCGAGGTACCTCAATCGTGAGCAGCCACGCTTGGCAAAACAGTTGCTCCCGGTGAGGCTCGAACTCACGACCTTCAGATTATGAGACTGACGCGCTGCCGACTGCGCTACGGAAGCGCGGTGATGAACTAAGCGACGCAATTATTGATCCAAACCTGTGGTTTTTCCTCAGATTTGGCCCATGGTAGTGAGCAGCCACGCTTGGCAAAACAGTTGCTCCCGGTGAGGCTCGAACTCACGACCTTCAGATTATGAGACTGACGCGCTGCCGACTGCGCTACGGAAGCGCGGTGATGAACTAAGCGACGCAATTATTGATCCAAACCTGTGGTTTTTCCTCAGATTTGGTCCAGAGCATTCCAGAGATGTGTAGAACTGTCGAGGTACCTCAATCGTGAGCAGCCACGCTTGGCAAAACAGTTGCTCCCGGTGAGGCTCGAACTCACGACCTTCAGATTATGAGACTGACGCGCTGCCGACTGCGCTACGGAAGCGCGGTGATGAACTAAGCGACGCAATTATTGATCCAAACCTGTGGTTTTTCCTCAGATTTGGTCCAGAGCATTCCAGAGATGTGTAGAACTGTCGAGGTACCTCAATCGTGAGCAGCCACGCTTGGCAAAACAGTTGCTCCCGGTGAGGCTCGAACTCACGACCTTCAGATTATGAGACTGACGCGCTGCCGACTGCGCTACGGAAGCGCGGTGATGAACTAAGCGACGCAATTATTGATCCAAACCTGTGGTTTTTCCAGATTTGGCCCATGGTAGTGAGCAGCCACGCTTGGCAAAACAGTTGCTCCCGGTGAGGCTCGAACTCACGACCTTCAGATTATGAGACTGACGCGCTGCCGACTGCGCTACGGAAGCGCGGTGATGAACTAAGCGACGCAATTATTGATCCAAACCTGTGGTTTTTCCTCAGATTTGGTCCAGAGCATTCCAGAGATGTGTAGAACTGTCGAGGTACCTCAATCGTGAGCAGCCACGCTTGGCAAAACAGTTGCTCCCGGTGAGGCTCGAACTCACGACCTTCAGATTATGAGACTGACGCGCTGCCGACTGCGCTACGGAAGCGCGGTGATGAACTAAGCGACGCAATTATTGATCCAAACCTGTGGTTTTTCCTCAGATTTGGTCCAGAGCATTCCAGAGATGTGTAGAACTGTCGAGGTACCTCAATCGTGAGCAGCCACGCTTGGCAAAACAGTTGCTCCCGGTGAGGCTCGAACTCACGACCTTCAGATTATGAGACTGACGCGCTGCCGACTGCGCTACGGAAGCGCGGTGATGAACTAAGCGACGCAATTATTGATCCAAACCTGTGGTTTTTCCTCAGATTTGGTCCAGAGCATTCCAGAGATGTGTAGAACTGTCGAGGTACCTCAATCGTGAGCAGCCACGCTTGGCAAAACAGTTGCTCCCGGTGAGGCTCGAACTCACGACCTTCAGATTATGAGACTGACGCGCTGCCGACTGCGCTACGGAAGCGCGGTGATGAACTAAGCGACGCAATTATTGATCCAAACCTGTGGTTTTTCCTCAGATTTGGTCCAGAAGTAGTGAGCAGCCACGCTTGGCAAAACAGTTGCTCCCGGTGAGGCTCGAACTCACGACCTTCAGATTATGAGACTGACGCGCTGCCGACTGCGCTACGGAAGCGCGGTGATGAACTAAGCGACGCAATTATTGATCCAAACCTGTGGTTTTTCCTCAGATTTGGTCCAGAGCATTCCAGAGATGTGTAGAACTGTCGAGGTACCTCAATCGTGAGCAGCCACGCTTGGCAAAACAGTTGCTCCCGGTGAGGCTCGAACTCACGACCTTCAGATTATGAGACTGACGCGCTGCCGACTGCGCTACGGAAGCGCGGTGATGAACTAAGCGACGCAATTATTGATCCAAACCTGTGGTTTTTCCTCAGATTTGGTCCAGAGCATTCCAGAGATGTGTAGAACTGTCGAGGTACCTCAATCGTGAGCAGCCACGCTTGGCAAAACAGTTGCTCCCGGTGAGGCTCGAACTCACGACCTTCAGATTATGAGACTGACGCGCTGCCGACTGCGCTACGGAAGCGCGGTGATGAACTAAGCGACGCAATTATTGATCCAAACCTGTGGTTTTTCCTCAGATTTGGTCCAGAGCATTCCAGAGATGTGTAGAACTGTCGAGGTACCTCAATCGTGAGCAGCCACGCTTGGCAAAACAGTTGCTCCCGGTGAGGCTCGAACTCACGACCTTCAGATTATGAGACTGACGCGCTGCCGACTGCGCTACGGAAGCGCGGTGATGAACTAAGCGACGCAATTATTGATCCAAACCTGTGGTTTTTCCTCAGATTTGGTCCAGAGCATTCCAGAGATGTGTAGAACTGTCGAGGTACCTCAATCGTGAGCAGCCACGCTTGGCAAAACAGTTGCTCCCGGTGAGGCTCGAACTCACGACCTTCAGATTATGAGACTGACGCGCTGCCGACTGCGCTACGGAAGCGCGGTGATGAACTAAGCGACGCAATTATTGATCCAAACCTGTGGTTTTTCCTCAGAGATTTGGCCCATTGGTAGTGAGCAGCCACGCTTGGCAAAACAGTTGCTCCCGGTGAGGCTCGAACTCACGACCTTCAGATTATGAGACTGACGCGCTGCCGACTGCGCTACGGAAGCGCGGTGATGAACTAAGCGACGCAATTATTGATCCAAACCTGTGGTTTTTCCTCAGATTTGGTCCAGAGCATTCCAGAGATGTGTAGAACTGTCGAGGTACCTCAATCGTGAGCAGCCACGCTTGGCAAAACAGTTGCTCCCGGTGAGGCTCGAACTCACGACCTTCAGATTATGAGACTGACGCGCTGCCGACTGCGCTACGGAAGCGCGGTGATGAACTAAGCGACGCAATTATTGATCCAAACCTGTGGTTTTTCCTCAGATTTGGTCCAGAGCATTCCAGAGATGTGTAGAACTGTCGAGGTACCTCAATCGTGAGCAGCCACGCTTGGCAAAACAGTTGCTCCCGGTGAGGCTCGAACTCACGACCTTCAGATTATGAGACTGACGCGCTGCCGACTGCGCTACGGAAGCGCGGTGATGAACTAAGCGACGCAATTATTGATCCAAACCTGTGGTTTTTCCTCAGATTTGGTCCAGAGCATTCCAGAGATGTGTAGAACTGTCGAGGGTCCTCTTGGTAGTGAGCAGCCACGCTTGGCAAAACAGTTGCTCCCGGTGAGGCTCGAACTCACGACCTTCAGATTATGAGACTGACGCGCTGCCGACTGCGCTACGGAAGCGCGGTGATGAACTAAGCGACGCAATTATTGATCCAAACCTGTGGTTTTTCCTCAGATTTGGTCCAGAGCATTCCAGAGATGTGTAGAACTGTCGAGGTACCTCAATCGTGAGCAGCCACGCTTGGCAAAACAGTTGCTCCCGGTGAGGCTCGAACTCACGACCTTCAGATTATGAGACTGACGCGCTGCCGACTGCGCTACGGAAGCGCGGTGATGAACTAAGCGACGCAATTATTGATCCAAACCTGTGGTTTTTCCTCAGATTTGGCCCATGGTAGTGAGCAGCCACGCTTGGCAAAACAGTTGCTCCCGGTGAGGCTCGAACTCACGACCTTCAGATTATGAGACTGACGCGCTGCCGACTGCGCTACGGAAGCGCGGTGATGAACTAAGCGACGCAATTATTGATCCAAACCTGTGGTTTTTCCTCAGATTTGGTCCAGAGCTTCAGAGATGTGTACGGTGTCGAACGTACCTACAATCTGTGAGCAGCCCACGCTTGGCAAAACAGTTGCTCCCGGTGAGGCTCGAACTCACGACCTTCAGATTATGAGACTGACGCGCTGCCGACTGCGCTACGGAAGCGCGGGCGGTAATGAACTAAGCGACGCAATTATTGATCCAAACCTGTGGTTTTTCCTCAGATTTGGTCCCTTGGTAGTGAGCAGCCACGCTTGGCAAAACAGTTGCTCCCGGTGAGGCTCGAACTCACGACCTTCAGATTATGAGACTGACGCGCTGCCGACTGCGCTACGGAAGCGCGGTGATGAACTAAGCGACGCAATTATTGATCCAAACCTGTGGTTTTTCCTCAGATTTGGTCCAGAGCATTCCAGAGATGTGTAGAACTGTCGAGGTACCTCAATCGTGAGCAGCCACGCTTGGCAAAACAGTTGCTCCCGGTGAGGCTCGAACTCACGACCTTCAGATTATGAGACTGACGCGCTGCCGACTGCGCTACGAAACGCGGTGATGAA